CTTCTTCGTGTATACCCACTTGCAACCAATTGCTTTCCGCCCCTTTGGAAGCTCAACAAGCTCCCATGTATCGTTCTTATGAAGAGATTCCATCTCCTCCTGCATAGCCACCTGCCACGAATCAGCCTCCGAACTCTGCTCGGCCTCTCTGAATGTAGTAGGCACTAACTCATCGATACTCTCCACCGGAAGTGCATACGCAACTGTGTCGGCATACCGTGCTGGCATCTGTATGTTTCTCCTCTGTCTCCTAGCCGCAATAGAATCCTGAACCTGAGCCGTCGGTTCCTGATCCTGCACATTTGTACTCGTATCCTCCGTGTCATCGTCGTGCTCGCCTGGCGTCACCTCAGTCGGCACCTGCATGGATACTGTACCATCTGGACAATGTGGAGCTGCATCGATCTCCACCACCTGCGATATCTCCTCCGTCGGGTCGCTCTCCACCTGATGAGAGCTGGGAAGCTTCAAGATAGAAGCCTCATCAAATGTGACGTCCCTACTCAGAACAATCTTTTTATCAACTGGATCCCAAAGCTTGTATCCCTTGACACCACGCTTGAATCCTACAAATATGGCCTTCCTAGCTCGAGGTTCCAATTTATCAGTTCTAACATGATAATATGCAGGGCACCCGAATACCTTGAGCTGGTCATAGTCATGTGCTGGCTTTCCCGACCACATCTCCATAGGGGTTTTCCCCTCAATCGCAGATGAAGGCAGCCTATTAATGAGGTGGCTCGCATATGTAAGTGCCTCAGCCCAAAAGATCTTCTCCAAACCACTCTGCGACAATAAGCATCGGATCTTCTCCAGTAAAGACCGATTCAACCTCTCTGCCACCCCATTTTGCTGCGGTGTATGACTAACTGTGAAGTGTCTCTCTATGCCCTCGTCTCGACATAGCTGCTGAAAGGGGTCAGAAGTATACTCACCACCGTTGTCGGATCGCAACGTCTTGATCTTTCTCCCAGTCTGCAGTTCCAATCTCTTCTTCCACTCCACAAACAAATCTAGGACTTCACTCTTCTTCGTCATGGTGTACACCCAACAACGCCTAGAATAGTCATCTACAAAAGTGACGAACCAATGTCGACCACCAAGTGATGCAGTCTTGGTGGGACCCCAAACGTCTGTGTGCACGTAATCCAGGATGCCCCTCGTCTGATGAATGGCAGTCCCGAACTTCACCTTCGTCTTCTTGCCAAGAACACAGTGCTCACAGAACTCAATCTTCCCACTCTTGGCTCCCTTCAATAGCCCCTGCTTGCACAATGTCTGCAGTGACTTTTCACCTGTGTGCCCCAATCTATAGTGCCAAAGTCTGCTCATGTCCGCTTCTGAAATAGCCGAAGCAACCTGGCCAATCTCGGTGCTTCCCTTCAGATAATACAAATTCCGATTGCGGACTCCCCTCATCACCACCAATGATCCCTTAGTAACCTTCGCTACAGCGTTTTCGAAAGTCACCTTGAATCCCTTCGCCTCCAAAGCTCCAACTGAGATAAGATTTTTCTTCAGTTGAGGAACAAATCTCACCTCCTTCAACTCACGGACTACTCCATCGTGCATCCTAATCCGCACGGTACCTATCCCACAAATGCCACAGGATTGATCATTTCCCATGACAACAACGCCCCCGTCGACTTTCTCAAAAGATGCAAACCAGTCTCGCCTAGGGGTCACATGAAAGGTAGCGCCGGAATCAAGCATCCAATCTGATGCATCCACATGGTTCACCTCCGGAGTAATCAGTAGAGAAAAGCACGAATCATCGGAATCATCGCCTTTCGCAATGTTCACCTCATTGGCCTTCGGGCCCTTTTTCTTGCCATTCTCCTTCTCCTTGAGCTTCGGGCAGTCTCTCTTCCAATGTCCCTGCTCCTTGCAGAATGCACATTGGTTCTTTGTTAGTTGGTGACGGCCTCTAGACTTTGACCTCCCTCTGTTACCACCTTTCGGATATGGGCTTCTACCTCTTGTCGACAAGGCCTCTCCTGAAGTACTAGCGCGGGAAGTCTCCTTATCCTTCCTCCTCAAATCGTAGTTCGTCAAAGCGTTAGTCACTTCACTATAGCTGATAGAAGATCTCCCGTTCAACAAAGTGAGCACGAAGGTATCATACTCCTCATCCGGTAAGGAGCCCAACAAAATAATCGCCTTGTACTCATCCGATATCTTCTCATCAACATTCGCCAAGTCCGACAACAACTTAGTATAGTTGTTCACATGCGCCGCTAGTGAGGTACCTCTGGACATCTGAAATCTGAAGAGTCTTCGCAGCAAGTGCAACCTGTTCTCAACACTCTTTGTGAGATACTTATTGTTGAGAATTTCTCACATCTTCATTGCAGACGTCACCCCAATCACATCATATTTCAGCTCCTGTTCCAAACAGGACCTGATCACCCCACAAGCGTTCCTATTCATTTTCTCCCATACCGCCTCTTCATATTTAGGTGGCCTCTCGTGGACCATGATGGTCTCTTCCAAATTCTGAGCATTGAGCGCATCCTGTACGTCGCTCATCCACAAACCAAAGTTGATTTTTCCGTCATATTTCACCACACTAATTTTGATGTTCTGAAAACCAACTTGTATTGTACCCGCCATCGATTTGCTGCTTTCACCTTCTTCTCCCATTGCGAACTAACTCCAAATTGTAGAGAAAGAACAAATTTGATAGAATTAGGAACCACCCAACTGAACCCTAGATCGGATTCCAAATAGATCTCCTATCCACACGAGGAAAGCGAAATCTCCAACGGCAACTCCTAATGCTATCTCCACCGAAGCCGAGAACTCCAAGAACTAAGCTTCACACAAGAATCTTCCTCCACCAAAAAATCCTAGATCTGAAATCTGGGCTCTGATACCACTTGTTGCGCGCAGCGGAAATTTCGGCAGCACTTCGGCAGCACAACAAGAGAGTCAGGTCGCAATAAGAATTCTTGTTTCTCAAAGGGAACAAGAATCTGAAGCCTATATCCTATCAAAGTAGGATATTAGCTCTTCCTCTCGTCAGCTCTAGGACTGCGCGTCGAGGGATCCTAAAAGCTATTACAAATCACACAAAAGCAGTACAATTAATTTTTACGTGGTTCGGCAAATTGCCTACGTCCACGGGGCAAGGAGGGGGGAGATCTACTAATAGAGGGAGAGAATACAACTAGGGTTTACAATCACTCTCAATCTAAACCCTCAAACAACTTGTTGTTCCACCTTTATCACCAAACGAAGCCTTAGACGAGCCTCCAAATTGATCTACTCCTCCAACCAAACCCTAGATCTGGAATCTGGGCTCTGATACCACTTGTTGTGCGCAGCGGAAATTTCGGCAGCACTTCGGCAGCACAACAAGAGAGTCAGATCGCAATAAGAATTCCCGTCTCACCAAGGAGACAAGAATCTGAAGCGGATATCTCAACCAAGTGAGATATCGGCTCTTCCTCTCATCAGTTCTAGGACTGACCTGTCGAGGGATCCTAAAAGCTATTACAAATCACACAAAAGCAGTACAATCAATTTTTACGTGGTTCGGCAAATTGCCTACGTCCACGGGGCAAGGAGGGGGGAGATCTACTAATAGAGGGAGAGAATACAACTAGGGTTTACAATCACTCTCAATCTAAACCCTCAAACAAACTCTCAAATCCCTCACAAATACCTCTCTACAAAAGGATGCACAAACCCTACCAAAAGCTAATGCTTTTTCTTTTGCACCTTCTCTGTAGCCGCAACTTGCTCTCCTGTAGCCGCAAACAATCAACCTCCTGCACCTTTCCCTCTGCCTCAGCCGCAAAGAAGAAAAGAAACAAAGCTGCCCTCTTGCACACAACCCTAGATAAGTACTATGTTGATATATCTATAGTCTACAGCAAAAGTCGGGTGGGCCTGGCTATTTCCGAGGTTCATGCGGAAAATCTCTTCACACGGAGCTGCTGGGTTTCTCTCACGTGGGTGGTCCCCACGTCCACTTCGGTTCACAACAAACTAAAACAAATATATTCATAGTCGTATATATATAAATTGCTCAATCGCGAATAGCGCGGATCCAGGATTTTTGAAAAGTGGTGTCAAAATATAATTAATAATTTAAAATTTTCCAGTTGCTCTAGCTTTCATATCTTCAAAAAGTATAATCGCACTAATAGTAACACTATCAAATACATTTTATTTTCAATATAAGTCACTAAACGATTGATGAGCCAATCATCACTTTGGTTCTGTAACTTGCTCTTTATCAACTTCATTGCAGAAAAAGCTCCTTCTATAGTTCCGTAGCTATAAGTAAAATTGCTATCATCTTTAAAGCAAATGCATTATTATTTAATAGATCACTTATCCTCTTCAAATTAGCAAATCTAAATTTTCCTATCACATTAACAATGTGAATTACAGTCTCTTAAAAGAGGGAGAAGGATCAAAAAAATGGCGATTAAGGCAGACGAAGTGATCCTTGTAGGAAAGAGCAAAAGGATTAATCTCGAGAGCATAAATGATCGTGATGGGAATTTTTTTTAGTGGGTGGAATCTGATGCAGTATCACCAATTTTTTAAGTGGTGTCACTAAGTACATTTTCTGGGATTGGATTTTTAATCGAATGTTTTTCTTTCTTTTCTATCTAGAATGGTGTCTAGTCCAACAAAATGGGGTCACTAAACTCTACTTACGCAATTGCTTTTTTTTTTTTAACTTTTAAAAGAGTCGTAAAAGTTGTGCTAAGAGGTTGTATTTGCACTTAGGCTAATACTTTAAGAGGTTTGCCCGCAACAAATTAAACCACGGTAGATCTATTCACGACAAATAGAACCACAAGAGATCACTATGCGCAGTTGGGTGTTACTAAGGTGTTCTTTTCGCAATTAACCCTATATAGATATAAATATACAGAACTGCAAATTTTACAACTTTGCCACGCGAAAGTGTTGCACCAAACTGGGATGAAAGGGCCCAACTCTTTGAAAAGAAGGCCCAAGGCCCATTTAGTGCCAAACCCTGTAAAACAAGCTAGGGTTTCTACGGTTTATCATCTCGCGCGCAAGAGAGAAAGGGCGTCTCCTAGGGTTTTTCCGCCACTCCCATCGGATCCCTGCAAAGATGGTACTTTTTTCTTAAAAATCTCTTAAATTCGATAATTTGCCCTTGATAATACGGAATTTCATTGTTATTGATCTATTAACGTTGATCTTTTTCATGATATAATGCTTTGAAATTGAGGAGTAATCGGGGGAAAAAATTTTATTAGAAAGGAACCCATTTTTTTTCTATTGTCGTGTGTTCCTTTTGCATAATTTTAACGTCCAAGTAGATACCAAGTAAGTTTTTTTTTTTAGGTTCTATGTTTGTATTGGTTTTGCTTTGCCATTTTGCACTTGCATGATTTATAACCACAAGAAACCCAAATACACAGAGGTTTTCATAGAACAGAGCTTCAACATTAGACCGACGCGGCCTTTTACAAAGAAAGATAGCAAACCCGAACATACGAATCAACACCCAAGGCCTATAGCACCAAGTCTGGACTTTGGTTGTCGGATTCGTACAAAACACAAAGGTGGGAGAGAGGTAGAAAGAGGTGGAGGAGGAGAGAGAGAATAGCACCAAATAGGAGGTTGATAACATAGCCTAAGGTTCAGAGATCACATATGAGAAAGAGATGCTTAGAGATAGGGAG